AATTGCTGCTGGTTTCATTCACTGCACCCCGAGGTGAGGCCAGGGGAGAGCACAGATCATCCACAGCAGCAGCAGTAATTAAATGATGCAGAGCTAGAGGAGCAGCTGCCCCGTGCCAGTGCCCTTCCTCTGCTGCTCAATTCCTCATTTCCACGGGCTGCAGCACGGCCCAGAATACAAATGTGGGCAGCATTTGCATACAGGGAGTGTACACACAAATCCCAGCTCCAGGTGGAAAGGAAACCTTCACCCTCCTCCTCCTCCTCTACACACAACCCCCACGCCAACAAATCTGGGGGAAATGTTTATCATTAATTAGCTCTTAGGAGCTTTTCTGGGTAAGGATTTATTTTTTTTTTTTAAGAACACACTGTTGTGTAAAACATGAACCCAACGTTTTCCCTCTGAGGGAAGCTCTCTCCAGCCCACACATGAGCAGCCAGAAGGGAGTCTCTGCCTGCCAGGGAATAAAAGGTGATGAGCAGACCCTGCCCTTCACCCTCTCCAGGCCTGATGGGAATTAAAAGGTCTCTTCAGGGATTTTTAGATATAAAAATTATAAATTTAAAATAAAAAATAATAATAAATTATAATAAAAATTAAAATTACTGCACAAGGAACACACTGGTTGTGCCCACTGGCAGATATGGGACATTTAAAGCCCCGTGTAAGGCCATGCAACGTGCCAGTCATAAATGCAGTGTTAATTATAACTAATTACAAATTCATTTGACTGGCTATACTCTCCTTCTAGCCCAACCCCCAAGACAATCCCACACTTCATGCTTTTAGTGTTTTCCCTTCAGGAAACCATTCCTAACCCACTCAGGTAAATCCCTCAGTTAGCTCACATTCCCACAGACACACTTTTTACTATTGCAAATCACCAGGAGAGCACTTGGCTTTGCAGAGATCATTAATTATGCAAAACACACACATGCACCAGGTAAATGAGGATCTTCACTGAGTGCTTCTCCTCTCCCTTGACCACCCAACCAAGGCAGCCTGAACCCAGCTCCCATCACAGATAGGGAATTTTTTGGAAGCCTCTTTAAAGGCAAGCAGGGCCCTGGAATCTCTCCTGCAGGATATTGTGTCTCCTCATTCTCCCAGCATCCAATATCCCTTTTTTTGCCTCATTTTGGCCCCAACCTGCCCATTAATGGAATATTTGGGAGGCCTCCAGGGGCAATTCCTGAGGAGATCTGAGCCCCTGCTTGCTGCCACCTCCCTGCAGGACACCCAGGAACAAAGAGAGAGGAGGAAAACAGGGCTAAAAACCCTAAACAAGTGAACACCTCGGGAAATAAATGGGTTTGTTATTAGGGAGAGAAGCCTGCACTCCCCAGAGCACAGACTGTGCCAGCACTGACACCAAGACTTCCAGGGCAGGAGGACAAGGAATGTCTTTGCTTCCAAAAGTCCTGGGAAGAACCCAGCAGGAGGGACACAAACTGGGAGGGATTTCTCTGTTGGTCCCCACAAAACCTTTACAACCAAAAGAATTCTCAGCGCTGTGCCTCCAATGGGCAGGGACACGAGAAGGGCAAATCCGACCTTGGGAAGCTGCAGAGCAGCTCCAGGCAGAGATTTGGGGTGGGAAAAGCCCTGCAGGGAAGCAGGGAAGCATCCAGGGCTGTTAGAAACGCATCACACTCGTGAGGAGCTCGTGCAGAGCACATGGGAGCAAAGCCCCTGCCGTACTCACTGTGAGCCAAACGAGAGCTGGGGGCAGCAGCACTGGCTGAAGGAAGAGAAATCAGGTGAGCAAAGGGAGGGCATCCCTGGAAAATGCTGCCAAAAACCAGGAAATGAGGAGATTTGGAAGGTGGGAGGTGATTTTAGTGTTGGTTTGTTGGCCTGGGGGTTGGTACACGGAGATATTTTGGCAGCAGCCATACACACTCTGGGGGTCGAACATTTTTTGGGGTTCAATCCCCTGCCCTGCTCCCCAGGCTTCAGATTTGTGAGGAAAAGGAAATGAAGAAAAGCAGCAAATGGTTAAAATGAAAATACAAACCCAGGTCAACTCAGACACTCTCCCAACCTCCAGAATTCTCATCTGTGCCACTATAATCCATAATTATCACTAATTACCTCATGGAGAGGCCCTCTAAGATAGACAGAAACTTCTTTTTCTTTTTGAAGGAAATTAAATAAATCAAAATGACTTCAGACTTATCCCAGCAGGCATTAAAAATTGTGTCAGGTTTTACATCCAGACAGAAACTTTAAATAATAGGGCAAGAAAAACAAGTGTCATTGATTAGTCTGAGCTGTAAAATTCCTAAAATCTCTGTGACCTTCAAATCACACTTGAAGGGACAGAAATTCTTCCTGCCCACATAGAGGTGATGGGAATTCCAGCAGAGATGGAAAAAAAGGAGTTTTTGTGGTGCCATTTCCTCAGTCAGGTTCTGAGATGGGCTCTGGGAAGGAGCAGAGAGAATGGGGGACACAGGATGATCCCAGCTGCAGGGCTTGGAGAGCAAGATGGATTTGTGAATGAAAAATGAGTTAAAGGGGGGAGAACTGGAGCTGGGGAGCACAGAGTGACTGACAGCCCATTGCCATGTGAAAATACAAGGAATAAAGCCAAAGGCTCCAGTCCAGAAGTGCTGGAATGTTCTGCACAGCACCCACCTGTCCCCAGGTGATGGCCACGAGGCTGCAGCACAGCTTCTCAGGCTCTTTCTCCTCTCTTCCCAACTGGATTTTCCCCCATTTCCTGCAGCCCTGCTCTCCCAGGGGTTCTTTATCCCCAATCCTCAGCCTGAGCCCCATCATCCTCATTAATGTTCCTGCAATTAACGGGCTCCCAACAAGCTCAGACTGCACAAATGCCCTGGAAATGCCTCCCAGTGGCTCCCAAACCACTGCAATTTCCCTGTCCTGCTGTCCCTCCCTCCTTCCCCTTCCTGCTCCACCAAATCCAACCTTTTCCCCAACGCAGTCTTTAGGGGAAAATGGCACCAGTGCCATTTAAAATAAAAATATTTTATAATCCTCTCCTGTTTTTCACTTCAGGAATCTCAAAGAATGTGACAGCAGCTTCTTTGAGCTTGTCCTGGTAATCTTGGGAATAACAGCAGCTCCCCACGAGGATGCATTGATAAATGGAATAATGCTCACTGGGATAAAGGGTTTTTTTTAGCTCCATTGATCAGTTTTGACTGGAAAGGCACAAAGCTATGGAGCCATCTCAGTGTTTCTCTCACAATCACACAAATCCATCACATTCCTGACTCATTCTGCATGGGGAAGTGGGGAACGTGCCATGCTTTAAAATTTAGTATGAGGTTTATTTATTTAATCACACAATCTACACAAGTGCTGGAAGACTGTCCAGTGGTAAAAATCATTAGTGAGAAGAGGAAAAAAAAATTTGAATTTTTTTCTTCAATCTTGTGCTTTCAAAATTGTGGAGATATTCAAAATTTTGAAGTTTTTGGTTGGCTCTGGTCTAAACCAGATCTGCAGCTTAGCTGAACTGACTTCCCTGAATTATCTCAGTATCATTAAAATTGAACAATTTTTAATGGATTCATAAATACAAAGCCTTCCAGTACTCCACTCTGAGTCAACAAGCTAACTATTATGATTTTTATTATTATTATTATTATTATTATTAGATAATCACTACATTAAATATTTCAACTGCATGCTGTAGAGCACAGACAAAGAGTTAACCCTAATTCTGTCCTAAACAAGAGCAGAGTGGCTACTCCAGAGTCAGTGTTGTTAGGAAATGGACACTACCAGTTACTCCAATCCTAAAGCCCCTGAGAGGAAAAAGGCACTAAATTAAAAGCTGAAAGTTCTGGGTGTTAAAGGAACACTCTAAAAACACAAAGAGAGAGTGAAAGAAATGCAGAGAGCACTTACGTGGGTGAGGGATGCCTGCGGTTTATCCATGGATGGGACACAAAATCGAAATAAAAAGTCGGAGATAGACACACACACACAAAAAAAAATAAATGTAAAAGATGTGAGGAGACAGAGAATATGGAGCTGGAAAATCACCCAGGTGGGTCCTGCTCAGCAGGGATGGGCAGAAGGTGGCAAAGTCGAGCCTGGGCACAGCTCAGGGGACTCCAGACATGCTCAGGGTGGGCTGGGAACGGCCAGTCCAGGGTCCAGCAGAGAGAGAATCCCAGCAGAGGGCTGGGAACCACAGCCCAGGGCTGGGAACCACAGTCCAGGGCTGGGAACCACAGTCCAGGGCTGGGAACCACAGTCCAGGGCTGGGAACCACAGTCCAGGGCTGGGAACCACAGCTCAGGGCTGGGAACCACAGCGCAGGGCTGGGAACCACAGCCCAGGGCTGGGAACCACAGTGCAGAGCTGGATGCAGGAGGAAAGGGAAAGAACCACGGGAGCAGAACCTCTCCCTGCCTGCTTTGGGCACATCTCCCCTGCCCATTCTGCTTTTTAAACGTTTTCCTCCTCCTCTCCTCACACCTTGGAGAGCTCCCTGGGATTTAATTCTTTCCTGGAACAGGACAGTGCTGGGCCACAGCAGAACATGGAGATGGCCCAGGCAGAGCAGAGCAGAGCCTGAGGAATCCATGGAATGCCCTCAAGAGCTGCATGGGCATCATCAGAACAGAGTAACCCTGCCCTCACCTTCCACAGCCCAAGGCCAGAGCTGTGCTGAACACCTTAATTTGGAAAACAAACCAGCCTTGTGACAGTGACATCACATTCTCTGTGACCAAAACCCTTCTCAGCTGCTTTTTCTCATTAAAATTCTCCTTTCCACAGCCCCTTCTCTGTGCCAACACCAAGGTTAAACTGGGAACACCACCCAGTGCAAATGAAACAACTCCTCTGCCTCCTCCCTTCAAAGAAAGCTTTTTAATTATCCTCAAAATCCACTCCAACCCAAAACCACAGAGAAAACAGAGGGTGCAGCGAGGTCTGTGAGAGAGAAAAGGTGAGATCCATGCATGGCAGAGATTGCAGGGGAGGGAAGCAGAGCGAGGCAGGGCTGTACTTACGAACTGGTTGTGTTTTGAACTCGGCTGGCAGGCTGAGCTCCCCCACGCCCTTGCCATTGACTGCTGACAGCCTCACTGCATAGGTGGTCTCAGGCTTCAGCCCTGTGATGGTCACCAAACCCTCCACGTTGGCTGGGGGGCGAAAAAAAAGAAAGAAAAAGCAAAGAAAAGCTCAGGACTCAAAGAAAGAAATACACAAATTTTGTTTTCCCCGCGCAGGGAGAAAAGGGACAAATAAACCTGACCCTAGCTGGGATCACACCACTCCAGAGGGGAACTAAAATAGGAATTTCAGCTCCACACAGGATTGGTGGTGGAAGATTCAGCTCTGGAGTGGAACTCTCCTTTTCACAGCCCTCCCCAAATCAAAATTATTTTGCTTTATTTGACTCCAAGATGGATTTTATGCAGCGGGCACTGCTGTAGATCACTTCAACAAGACAGGTTTGCTGCTGGAATAGCAGAGTTTATTTTCCAAGGGGGACCAAGGGGTGACAGATGAGGGTTCAAAAGCCTCCTGTGGGCAGCAGCAAGTGAAAACCATTATTCCAAGCACAGGATTCCTCACCTTGCTCAGGCAGAGCTCTCAGCAAAGCCCAACCCTCATTTCCAGCTGAAAATTCCAGCTGTCGCTCACAGCAAATGTTTAAAAACTCATCTGGAGCTTCCAGCCTGAACCCTCCACCCTCCCTGGCTTTTCCTTACAGCAAAGCTGATTTGTTTTCGGTGCTGGTGGGGAAGGAACCAGGTGTTTTTGTGGCTCCTACCTTCCTTGGCATCGTAGAGCCTGGCGTGCCAGTCCCCCTCGCCCAGGGCCCTCCACTCCGCCTTGTACTTGAGGATGGGCACCCCGCCCGTGGCCTCGGGCTCCTCGAACTCCACCTGGGCACTGCTGGAATAGGGCTCCACCCTGCCGATGGAGGGCGAGGACGGCGTGTCTGGGGACAAGGGACAGCAGGCAGTGAGACACCGGGGCTGGGAAAGGAGCTCCAGCAGCCCCTGGCTCCCTGCAGCGGAGGACAGGGGTAGGGCTGAGGCTCCCAGAGTGTTCAGGCAGCTTTTAAAGATGTTAATTAGTGCACGGATCTTCGTTTTGTCTCCTGTCTAAGAAGCTGGAGACTCCCAGTCCCTTCTCCAAAAGAAAACGGGCAGGGCAGTGTCCTGGATGTCTCTGTCCCCACTGTGCCTCGCACAGGGCACTGCAATGCAGAGCTCGAGTCCCAAATCTGCCTCTGGCAGCCCTGGAGCCCCTCCAGGGGCTGGCACAGCCCTGAGCCTTGGATCCTGCTGGATTTCAGCTGCTGCCAGGGGGGCTGGCTGCTTTGGGGTGCACAAAGCCGAGATCACAGCTCTGAGAAAGGGAGCACAGAAAAGAACCAGCCCCTGGAGAAACGAGGAGATGCTGAGCAGCTCCAACCCAGCCCAAAACCTATCAACAGCCTCTTGGAAGGCAGAAATTGCTCTCCTGCTACCCCAGCAACACGAACTAGCAAAGCTGGGCCGCTGTGTCCCAGCCCTCCCTGCTCACCTGCCTGCACCAGGATGAACTCGGAGGACTCCTGCCCGATGCGGTTCACAGCCGTGCAGTTGTAGTTCCCAAAGTCGTTCTCCGAGTCTGGGGTCACCTGTGGGGGGAAGGAAGGCTCAGGCTGGGATCACAAAACCCTTTTCACTCTGCTGAGGAGCCCTGAATTTAGCTACAATAAAATCCAGGTGTTTTTGCTCGCAGGGCTATCCATGGGGGAGAGAGCTGCAGTGGGCACAAATCGGAGACAAACAGGGGCCGTGGCTTCTGTTACCTGATTTTCTTCCATTTCCTGATTTTCTTTATCTTCCATTTCCTAATTTTCTTTATCTTCTTTATCTTCTGATAAAGATTTTATATTACCTGATCTTACCTGATTTTCTCAGCATTTATATGCTAGAAACACCGTCTCAACTTCATTTCTACCAAGACGACAAGGCTGAATTCTTTCAGCATCAATTATTTGATGGCACTGAGCCCTGCTGGCTTTTCCTCACCTCCAGGTAACTTGCTGAGGGGGTGTTGTAGATCTTGATGTTGCTGTAGTTGGAGCTGGGGAGGAGCTGCCCATCCCGGAACCAGGAGATGACAGCACTGGGGTAGGCAAACACCTCACAGGTGATGTTCACTTGGTTTCCTTCCCAGGTGTACACGGCCACAGGGCCCTGCAGCTTGGGGGCATCTGAAAGACACGTTTGGGAAGGCAATTGGAGCCAGCCAAGTTCCCAAAGCAGCCCAGGCAGCCTCACCGTGAGGATCCCTTGGCTGGAGTCCACCTCAATGCGGGAAAGGGAATCTAATATTGGAAATGGGAGCTGTCCTCTCACCCAGGGGGTGGGGAATGTCCTTTGCTGAAGGGCACGAGGAGAAAACCTGCTCAGCCCCACGGCTGCTCCTGCGAGGTGCAGGAGGAGCAGCCAGCAGGATGGAGCTGGGGAATGACAGCAGGAGAGCTGTTTAAAGGGAGCATTTGATTCCCAACAAACGGGACTGCAGCAGATCCGTGGCCAGGCGCAAAGAGCGCCCCAACATCTCAGAGCAGACTTTTACCGGCCCGAGCCGCTTCCCCACCCTCGGGGAAGGAAGCGGCCCCGGAGGGAGGCTCCCAGCCCACTTACACTGCACTTCCAGGTACATGGCCTGCGAGTCCTGCCCGATGGTGTTGCTGGCCGTGCACACGTACTCGCCCGCGTCCGTGTACTGGATGTCCTTGAGCGTCAGCGAGGACACGCGCGCGTGGCTGCGCACCACGATCCGCCCGTCCAGCGTCTGCGGGACACACAGCACGGTCAGAGCCCCCCGGGACACAAACCCTGCCCCACGCCACGGGGATCCCCTCACCTGAGGCCAGGTGGGAGCACGAGAGGCAATTCCAAGAGGAATCACACAGCGCCCGCTGCCGCGGCTCAGAGCGCTCGGGGGAAGGGGAAAACACAAAAAGAAGGACCAAGGGAGCTACTGCGTATCTGAGAACAAAGTCAAGCTTCTCCCCAGAATGGGAAGTGCAAAGATCCAGCTCTGGTTAAAAAGTTTTGCCAGCATGCAAAGAAATAAAAATAAAAAAAAGGAAACCTCCCCAAGAGCTCCCAGTCAGAGAATGCAGCCCTTCCCTGTCCTCTCAGCAATACTGGTTTTATCTCAGTGTCCCTGACACGGGTAAGGAAGAACAGATCCAGAGCTCAGAAACGAATCAGGCAAAAAGGAAGCTCAGAACTTTCGCCTGAACGTGGCACACGAAGAGAGGAAAGTGCAGTGAAAAGGGCAAGAAAACCTCCAGAGACAGCCTTGCCTCAAGAAAATCCCAGAACCGCTTCCCACACACAAGAGAGTGCGGGGATGCCACGGACAGAGAGAAACAGGGAATGTAAAATCCAAGGGGACTGCCAAGGGACTGCACCCACCCAACCAATCCCTGCCCACACCGTTCTCCTCTCCCATTTGCCACCAAAGCTCCCCTCATCCACGAGAACACAAAGCCATGGACTCCTCTCTCCCTCCTGGAAGCTCTAAAGCACCAACTCCCTCCTCTGGTTTCTGATTTTGCAGCACAAGCACCAGGGAGTAAATCTGGCACCCTCCTGGCTGTGCCTGCTGCTCCATCCTGCCACTCTCCAGGAGCATCTGTTTTCTTGGAAGGTACAGGACCAGTGCTGATAAATGAGTAAAAGCCTGAGGATTTCCAACAGCCAAGTGCACAAAAAGCATTTCTGGTACCTCAGGTGTGAGACCTGTGGGCCTGAAGCCTCTTTCTGTGCTGAGCTGAAGACTCAGGCCCCGAGACTGACAAAGTTTCTACAAATAAATGTTGTTTGTCACCTCGGTTAGTTCCAGTATCAGTTCATGGGCACCAGGCCAATTTCAAATGCACAAAAATAGTGTCTTTTGATGACACATAAACAACTGAGTGTATTTTTCTCCTCTCTCTTCCCTGCTGCAATCCTGGCCAGTGCCACGAGCTACAAACTCCATCCCTCTCCTGCTGGGAACAGCTATTCCATGGACACGTGGTGCTCATTTCCTAGAGCCTAACATGAAACTACTGTGCTATCACACAACCAAAATCTGCTTTTGTCTCACTCCCCTGGCTGACTGCAGTGCTCTGCTGCTGTCTGACTTCCCATTTCCCTCCAAAAACCCCAGCTCACTTCCAGCAGGATCCACGGGTCTGGGGGCAAATTCTCAACACTTGTCTCTGTGACCTCGCCAGAAGAGTGAAAGGGACAAAACAGCAGTGTAGGATCACCACTGGTGAATCTAGAAAAGGCAATTTTACACCAAAATGTCTCCTGCCTTTCTCCCCACCTCCTCAAGATCTGACACAAAGGATTGCCAGGAAATCATGGTCAGTGATGATTTCATGAGCAATGCAACTGATTCTGAAGATGAAGCTCTGTTTTTTTAATGCAAAAAGGCAAAAAGGGAAGAAAAAGAGAGATCAGGAAAAAACACTCTAAGGAAGAGAAAAACACCTACCCAAGAAAGCACATCCCGAGTTTTCTCTCTCCCTACTGCAGCCCATCAGGTGCTCTGGCTGTTGCAGGAATTTGGGAGCCAGATGTTGATATCTGCAACCCTTTTAGTCAAATCTCCCTGGCTGCAAGATCTGGGTTAACAAAATGCTCCCTGGTGCTGGGGAGAGCAGCCCAGGGACACGGGCAGTGCATCACTCCTCAGAACAGAGCACTGTGTTCCCTACATTGCCAATTATTGGCATTTATCCTGAGCTACTGCAGGTATTCTTCCCCAAATTCTGGCCATGCCCTGGGGCAGAGCCACTGTGATCAGAGCTGGGCAAGAGCTCAGCTGCTCAGGGCCAAAGGGGGAGGGCAGAGGCAAATAAAACACATTTATCCCCCTCCCCTTCACCTTCTGGAGCTTTCAGGCCTTTCCCAAAGAAACATCCATGAATAATTCTGCAGTGTCCTGTCTCCTCCTCACCCACCTCCCACAAACCCCCTGAAAATCCCGACCCCAGGCAGGAACTGCACTGGAGGAAGGTGAGGGGTCTGTCCTTGCTCTGTGCTCGCACTGCAGTGGCTGATATTTGTATTTATCTGCAGCCCTGAACATTCCTAAGGCTGCACCCCTTACCCAGCACCAGTCTGGGGTGGGACTGAGGGTACCCAGAGATGCTGCCAGGACTGACTTCACCTCCTCACCCGAAATTCCTTCAGTGAAAGCCAAACACTTCATGCCAAACATTCCCTGACCTTCATCCTGCTGCTGGAATCCACTGCCCAAAGCCCCCAGGCAACTTTAAATCAATTTAAAAGCAATTTTAGAGAGCTACCCTGCACCCCACTGGGGTATTTAGAGACACAGAGGCAGCAAGAAATTTAGAGACAGCAAACTTAATAATATTAGTGCTCATATTAATCAAAAGCTGGAGAGAGAGAGCACAGAGGAAACACTGGGAGCAGGGAGGGGACAGCTGTGACAGGAATCTGTGTGAGTCCTGGGGAGATGCAACTACTCAAATTCCAAATTCTTCAAGGCAAACTGCTCTGAATATCTGAGGCCTCCACCTGCCACGATCCAACAGATTATTCTGAAGGAAGAATGGGCAGGATCTTCTCAGCCCCCCAGGAGACACAGCTGGGTGGTGCTCGAGTTACAGCTTCACTTTGTTCAGTCTCTGGGAATTAAGATGGCTTAAAAATAATTTAAAAAAAATCAGAGCCTCCACAAAGTTGATCCTAAAAATACAAATCCAAGTCACCCAGCTTTTACAGCTCATTTTGCTCTCCACCTGACCCCTGCTATTTGTTTGGGAACTTTCCTTCTGGTCCATTTTGAAGCAAGAGTGCTACAAATCAGCTGCATTATTATTATTGTTATTATTATTACTGTTATTATTAAAGCACAGCACTGAATGTGAAATAAAATCAAACCCCACTTGCACCAACCCCAGTCCCTGCATTATCCCACCTCCCCCTCGCTGACCCTTGCAGATCAAAGACAAATTAAAAGAATTGAGCAATTTGGAGCATTTTCTGGAGAAATGCTCCTCGTGAAAGGTTTCTCTGCATTGACTTGGAAATGGAACACGATGCAGTTGTCCTTTAAAGAGAAGGTCAAACTGAAGGAGTGCCATAAGCAAATAGGTGAGTTGGCTGGAGCAGAGGAGGCTTTCTTGGGGAAAAATTACTTTCCCAAAATACAGGCTGGTGTTAATTCTCCCCTCTCTGAAAGAGAGGATGATTCACACTGGCAGCATAGGAAAAAAAATGGTAAAACCAGCATTTTACATTAGTTTTTAATTTTAATCACCTTTTCTTTAATTTTTAAGTGACAAGCAGAGTTCCTCACTCCCAACACAGCTACTTTGCTCATCCAAAAAATGCATCACTACATGCCAAGCAATTTCTACCTCTAGAAGCTGCTTCTTTTATATACTGGTATTTAACTGGGTCAGATTAATGCTCGTTTAGTGGGTTACTGCACTAGAGATTTGTTAATGCTTACAAGAGAAACCAAAAACCAACAACCTAAGAAGTTTGCTAAAGGTCTGGTAATCTTATACCTCTTGTTTCTCGGGCCGGGTCCACGAAGCCTGGAGAGAACAGATATAGAACACAACAAGAACAACAGAAAAAAAGCAATAAAAGTTTATCAAAGGTTGCTTTCAGGTACCAGTGTTTGCAGCACATTGAGCTGCGTGCACATGCAGGCTCCAAGCTGTACATCTCCTGTGTGGGGAGGGGATCACAGCTTCCCTTTCCCATCAATTTAGGTTGCCATTCACCATCTCACAGCCTCCCAGTTGGTCTTTAAATGACTGAACAAAGGCTAATGGCACCTCAGGACTGATTTATTACACAGCAGTGACGGTTTCCTCGTCACATCTCACCTCTCCTACACACCTGGTGCTCAGGAAGTGACTCTGGCCACTGAATCGCAGAGTACAGACCTGGTGCTGTGCCCCTGCTCTGTTTGCCACCCCACACTGATTAATTAACACTGATTAATGTGCTCATCATGCATTTGGAGCCCTGGTTCCATGCAGGCTGTGCCAGGAGGGCCCCCAGCCGCAGCTCCTTGTGCTCAGGGATGGCAGCACCCGGCCCCTGCTGGGCTGGGGACAGCCCTCAGCAGTCAAACATGCACAAACCTCACATTAAAGGAAATATTTCCCACTCAGAGAAAGCCAGCAGCAGCATGGACCACGCTCCCTGTGCTTCACAAAGAGCCAAGGGGCTGCTTTCTATTCCCTCCCCTGGAATTTATATTTCAGCTATCTCCTGGTCTCTTATTATTTCCATTGATCCCCTTCAGTTCAGGAGTCAAAAATCACCTGCTAACACGAGAGCCAGGATGGCACCACTGGCTGGGAGGCACGGTGACACTGTGGGGATGTCACAGCACACATGGTGACAGGGATGGAGATGGAGGCTCAGGGAATGAGAATCAAAAACAGAGCACTGCTGCCAGGGGGCTTCCAGTGAACACTGTGAGACCAAAATAGCGACAGATGGGACACACAGCCTCGTCTGACAGCGCCTCTGAGGAAAGCAAATGGTTTGTTTGGGACTGAGGTGGAGCTCACCGAGCCCTGCAGGGGTTGGGACACTCCCAGACCTGGCCATTTCTAGCTGGGTATTTCCTGCTGTGAAAGCTGAACGGGCAGCCCAATAATCCAGAGGAATCCCTTTTCCAGTCCCAGTTCAGTCCAGGGACCTGCCTTGTGAGTCCCCTGCCACTCCTGCCCACTGCTCTCCGTGGTGGCAGCACAGGGGGACACTTTTCACCCCTTGGTGGCAACCTGAAGGAAGATGAAGAAGGAACAAAGCCCATTCCCAAACCCTCAGGGTTTTTAGCAGCCCTTGGGGTGTGATGAAAGAGGCAGAGCCACATTCCCCATCCCAGAGAATTCCAGACTAACTCTTCCTCACCTAGACAGAGACAGACCAGCTCCACCCAGTCAACGAGGGGGGAATCCAGAGCCTCGTGCACCTTCAGATTCCTAAATTATTAAAAACTCATCCATTTGCTTTGGCTGCCAAGAACACAGAGCTGAGAGAGGCTGCTGGGCAGCAACAGCAGCCCAGAACACGAGAGGAAGGATGGGCTGGGCTGTTTCTAGGACAGCACAATGCAGTGATGGGATTCTCCTGTCAGAGGGGTGACAGACACCCGTAATCCAGCCAAACAACTCAGATCCATGCAGAAAACTGCATTTTCCTGCTTGAGGAACAGGGGCAGCCCTGGGGGAAAGGCCCAGTGACAGCACACAGGTTAAACTGTGCTTGGGATGCAGGAGGGAGAAATCAGAGCTGAGCCCTTGGTGAGAAGATGCTCCCTTTGTTTTCTGCCCTCCAGGGAATGGTGATGTGGCTGGGACAGCAGCTCCCAATCCAGCTCTGGATAAAGCATCAAGGACCTGCAGAGTGATTCCCCCCCATCCCCACAGGCTGAGCTGCAGTGCTGGGTGACAAACCCGGAATGTCCCCATGGGAAGGGCAGCTGGGACATCCCAAAATCTGCCAGGAGACACAGCTGAACTAAAACTCCCTTTTTCTTTGGGGGTTTGGGTAAGTTTTCCAGAATGTTATGGGAGTTAAGGCATCTCCACACCTCTAAAAATCCACACTGAGGGATGATTACAAGAGCAAACAGCACGAAGCAAGAGAGAAGCATCCAAGTAGCTGGATAATAGAAATATTCAAAAGTAGGCTTGATAATTCTTAAAATAGAATTGTTTGTCCTGCATCAAAGACCATCCACTCCCCTGTGCTGTCCCAGAGAAAGAAAGTGGAGAATAAATGGAATGTATGCATTTGTAACAGAATATGTAATAGAATTAAATATTCTAATAGAATTTGTAGTAGAATATTTATAGAGCTGTTCTGACCTCAGGGCTTTCTGGACATCTGAAATGTTCACTTCAACTCAGAGCACAAGAGAGAGAATGGGGAAAGTACAAGACAAACCAAAACAAAATGCACACACACAAACAAAAAATAATCCAGCCTAGAGACTGCATGGGCTGTGATAAAATAATGTTTGCCCTGAAGGTTTGAACCAGCACATGAACACATGGCAGTACCTCAAACCTTGGCTTTTCCCCCATCTGCAAGTGTCAGAGTATGAACATTTCCCTTGCTATTGATCACCAACCTGAGAGCATCGAGCAGAGTCTCAAAAACCAGCAAAAATGAGTTAGCAGTTTTGCCACTGAGCTCTTGATGGTTTAACTGGGCTGCAGAGGGGGGGCTCTTCTGCCACTGGCTTTAGTTTTTACATTCTCCTCCCTGCCCCAGCTCTGTCCATGGCTGTCATCCAAACTCCAGAGCCAGCAGCACTGGAGCCCTTGGCACCTCCCTGGGCTCTCCTAACAGAGACAAACCCGTGAATAAATAACCTCAAATCCTGCCCAAACAGGTCCCCCAGTCAGGCTGCAGCTTCTGCAGGCACTGGAAACCTCTCCCTGAACATTGCAGGGATTCACAGCAGCCCTGGGATCCAAAGGATGCTAAGAAAGAGCTGAAGCTGGAAAACTTTGGCACCCTGATTAATAAAGTTACACATGAACAACGTAGGGAGGGGCTGACGTCATGGGGGCAATTAAAAAAGCTCATTTAGGAGCTGCACTGCAGGACAGCAGCTGTGGGGACAAGTGACAGTGGACACCTCTGTTGCTCCAAGACTTTCAGGGTGTCACCTGCTGCCTCCACACTGAGCCAGAACCTCTGGCATGGCCAAGGCAGCTGAGCCCTGAAGCATCCCGTTATTAGGAGATTATTAATTAGCAACAACTCCTCACTCCTACTTCTGTCTAGGCATTCTCTGGCTCCACATTCTGCCTCCTGATCACTGATGAAACATCTCCAGTACAGCAGCACATCCTAACCTCGGCTAATTAAAGGAGCTGTCGCCAATAACAACACCAGCACTCTTCTTCAAGAAGAAAAAAACTGCTAATTATTTTTGCCTTTTAAGAACAAAATGGTATTGATGGGATCAACAGAACAGGTGAGCACAAAAGGCAGCCAGGCTTTTGTGCTTCAGGGATGTGCAGTGTCAGAGGACAGCACGGAGGAGGAATGAACAGGCTCATTTTGGATCCACTGCATCCTGGAGAGGGAGCACCCCTCACCTGCCACCTGCACAGCTCTGGGCTCAGGGGGCTCATTCCCACTCCCAGCAGCTTCCTGCAACTGTAGGAGCTCCTCTGAAGAGGGTTTAGGGTCTCTCCAATCGCATTCACCCCCCAGGGAATACAGCAGGAATTACAAAAGGTCTCCCCAGCTGCTCTGTGCCGAGGTGGGCGCCTGTGGCACCGCTCCAGGGGTGGCTGTGAGCCCGGGCCCTGCACCAGTGCAGCAGCAGCAGCAGCAGCAGCAGCTCCTCGTGCATCCACATGCAATTGCAGGCCAGGGGCAGGCAGGGACGAGCTGTGCTGACCCCACAACCCCTCGGGGCTTTGGGCAGGGTTGTACCTTCTCCTCGTTGCTGATGTTCCGTGTGGAGGTTCTCCAGGTGATGGAGGGGATGGGGTCCCCTGACGCCTCGCAGGTCAGCGTGATCTGGTCCTCCAGCTCCATGGCTGTCTTGTTCTCCACGTAGGTGATTTTGGGTTTGGCTGAGGAGGAGAACGAACCTCAGGGCTCAGGGTGAAGCTTGTTTGTCACAGCAGTGTTTGGAACAAGCAGCACTGGGGAGAACTGTGACAATTTACTGCCAGCTGGGGAAGGAGCAGAGTGACTTTCACCAGGGCACCTCCTTGCAGAAGACCTCAAGAGCCTCTTCTGCTCATTCTCACAGCTGAGGCTCCTTTTGAGGACCCATCTGAGAGTGCACAAACACTCAGCCCCTGGGATTACCAGCTCACTCTTCCACCTCCCCGCCGACTTTCCCTGCCCCAAATTAGCCCTTTGCTAAGCAGCTTTGTCAGGTGGCTACACACAAGGCAGGGAGAATTCCACATTCCTCAACACTTCCAGATTCCTGGGAGGCAGGAAAGCTCCTGATTCACTCCTCCAAGCCTGAGCTCACTCACACAGAGGTGGCTTGGAGCTCACATCGCTGTCCAGGTTGCAGCAAGCCCCACTAAAGTGCTAAAACCCTTTTAACTTCAGCTTTGGTGGATCAGGGTTCAGCCTGGAAGGCCTGGAGGAGATTTCCAGCAGCCTGTGGGTCTGATCCCACCAGCCCTGCCTGTGTTTCAGCAGAGAGGAGCTGGGATGAGTTTCCCCATGCACACACACGATGGCAGGGTGGTGCACACAGCAGCAGCTCGGGATAAGCCCAGCAGGCATTAATTGGGATAAGCAGGTTCCCCCAGCTCCCAGCAGTGTCACCAACAGCCAGCTGGGCTGCCAGGGCATGCTCAGGGGCTGGTTACCAAAGACTTTGAGGTGGATGGTGGCATCAGCCTCGCCAGCCTTGTTCTCAGCGATGCAGATGTACTCGGCCTCGTCGCTCTTGTCCACCCTCTGGATCACCAGCTCGGAGCCATCGTAGTTGAAGCTGTATTTGTCCTCATCCTCCACCTCCTCCACGGGCTCTCCATCCCTGGGGGCACAAAGCACACGGGGCTGTGCTGGCAGAAGTGACCCAAGGCTGGCTCAGGCTTGTTCAGGAAATTATTTTATAATAGAAATTATTCCACTGCAGCTCCTCGTGCTGGGAGGGACCAGCACCTTCTCCTCTCCCCATGGTCCCCAGAGCTCAGCTTGAGACCTAGTCCCAACCTTTCCTGCCTCAGGGCTCTTGGCAGCTGAACTCTCACCTCCTGGAGCTGTGAGCCCACCAAAGCCACACCAAGGCACCACTCCACACTGCCACCAGCCTTTCCTCGTCACTTTGTGCTCCCAACCTTCACCAAAGGCTACAGAATTCCAGGAACAGCATCCCTGGAGTGTGAATCACCGCCTGCCAGGGAAATGCAGGAAGCTGGGAAGGGACAGAGCTGACCTGGCTGAACCATGGGGAGCACTGAAGGAACTCCTTGCTTTGCTTTGCTTTACTAAACTGTTTTTATCTCAACCAGGTTTTTACCCTCAGATTCCCTTCCCTGGGTGCGCTCTGTGCTCCCTGCCTGACCCACAGCAGAAGGCGACTCCAGCCCCATGGTGAGACCACTCTTGTGAGAAAAATCAACTCATCCCAGTTAGAACATCCCCTTCCCAGCCCAGGGGAATGCTGCACACAGATCTTACTTTGTCCAGGTGACGGTGGGCTCGGGGAAGCCATCGGCATCGCAGGCCAGGGTGACAGACTGGCTGAGGTTGGCAGTGGCATTCATGGTGCTCTGCCTGGCGCGCACCGACGGAGGGACTGCAAGAGAAGAAAGCCACGGCTGAGTTGGAAAGGACAGAAGGTTCCTTTGCATTTCTGATGGCACCAGTCACCCAAACCAGCACCTGCAGGGTTTCAGCAATGAGTTTGAGGCGTGTCCAAAGTCATCAGCACAGGGGAGAATGGGCAGTGGGTGGAGAGAAACAAAAAAACTCAGTGTGGTGGCCAAATCCACTCGTGAGCACCACCAAGCTCAGTTCCTCACTCTAAGCTTCAGGTTCCTCAAGGTGTTTTTATCCCATGAACACCTGGCAAACCCTCAGTGCATTCCCTGCAGGTTTTCATTGGACACAGCAGAGGAAGAGGATGCTGTGAACCTGAGGCAGCACCTCCAGCAGCAGCCTGGGGGAAGGCGCTGCTCTGAGCCCCAAGCCCCTCACCGTTGACGATGACCTGGATGTCTTTGAAGTTGATCTCCCCACGGGCCAGGATCCTCCCCTCACACCTGTAGGTCCCCTCATCCGTCTTCTTGATGCCCCGGATCTGCAGGTAGTTGTTGGACAGGACGATGAAGCGCACTGCAAAGGACAAAGGGAAGGGGAGCTCACTCCAGCTTCTCCTCTGCTCGCCCCTTCTGGCCTTGCTGGAATGAAATCTCCCTCCCCACCATGAAATGGAGATGCTGCTGCAGCTGGATCTGCTTCTGCCAAGGGAAGAAACATCTGTGGGGAGCAGCCAAGTGCTGTGGTTGTGCTCAGGGAGATGAACAGATCAATGCTCCCCCTGACAGGCTGACACAAGGATTAGTTTGGGACTGACCCCTCCTGCCTGAGAGCTCCAGCCTCACCACCTGTGTGCCAGGTGTGGGAAACCATCTGGAGCCAAGGCCTGAGCCAGCCCCTCTGCCCATGGCTGTCTGCAGCATTTGGGAAGAAAGGGAAAAGTTCTTGCAAGGAGCTTTCACCCCTTTTCCTCTTAAAGGCTGGAGGGTGTCACAAATTCCAGCTTTTCTGTCTGATGGCACTTCTTTGATTTTTTTCCAGCATTCCTTGACTGATTCTGGTGCCAAAGCCTGATGGCCATTTCAGTGGGAATACGACTGCCCTGCCACTGTCAAACCACAGCACCTGGGATAACTAAATTCACATCCCATGGCCTTGTGCCAAGCACAAACTGCTTCTCCTGCCCCTTGTGACCACCAGCATTTGGTGTGGGAGGGAGATGGACATTTGACCCCAAAATGCACAAGAACCAAGCCCTTACCATCCTTTTTTAGGATGACATCCCTGCCTTTGTGCTTCCAGATGATGGTGGGGGGCAGTGAGCTGACCACGTCACACACGATCACAGCATCGTCCCCTTCCTTGAATTCCTGAGGGGTGGGAGCGTTCTTGAACATCAGCTTTTCTGGAAACAAGGAAAGGAGAAGGTCACTGCAGCTTCCTCAGCACACCTGTGGCTGTGCTCCTGCCTCCAGCCTGAGGGAAGCAGAGAAACCCCCGAATCCCCAGGAATCTCCTTGTTCCCAGAGGAGGATGAAGGTCTGAGTGGGTCTGTGCCCACAGCACCCCCATTTCCAGCCCTGTGCCCACAGTGGGCTGAGTTACCACTCTGAATAATCCCCACTGCAGGGAGGGAACCTGGGACTGCTCATCCCCCCAGCAGGGAGGGAGAAGCTGCCAGCAGGGCTCCGCTGGACCAGCTGAGGGCTCACTGCAAACCCTCTGCACTCCTGGGCCTCTCTTTACTCCACACTAGAGGTGTGTGTCACCCACAGCAGCTCCTCTCTGTAACTCCTGCCAGAAGCACCAGAACCTTCTCCTCCCACCCCTTGCTCTCTGCCTTTCAGAAGGGTTCCAGCCCTGGGGATGCCCTGACCATCCAATTCACCCCCTCCACACCAGGAAAGAAGGCTGCATCTGAACACCCCCTTTCCTCCTCCCCCTCCAAAGCCTTTCCTAGGAAGGTTATCCCCAGTCCTGCCTCACAGACACGCAGGAGAAGCCTGCGAGGCGCTGCCTTACGGAAAATCTTGACGTTGACGGTGGCCTCGGAGTCTCCCTCCTCCAGGCTGCTGACCACACACTTGTAGATGCCAGCGTCGTCGATGTTGGCGTTGTAGATGGTGAGGGTGGAGGAGAAGTCATCGTTGCGCACCACCGAGATGCGCTGCTGGTTCGGGGTCAGCCTCTCCCCGTTCGGGGAGAACCATGAGATGTCCTTGAACTTGGCCTCCCCTGCCACTGTGGGGGGAGCACAGAGCCCAGTGAGCCAGCCCAGCTCGGGGTCACCCCCTGAGCGCCCCCAGAGCGGCCAGGGTGAGCCCAGCAGGGTCTGGCTCATCCTGAACTGCACAAACCTTCAGCCACCACGCACCTTGGCATAAGAAGAACTTGGATTCTCCAACGCTGATCTCCCCCTGGCTTGGAACGATGTCCACTTGGAGAGAGGCTGGGAAGGGAACGAGCACAGTTAGACAAGGGCCGTGGGCTCCAGCAAAAAACCTTTGCCAACCTCACAGTGCCCGTGGATCCCTTATTCAGTTTACAGCCCAGGATGACACCTACTTTCTGATCTGAATTGCTGGTTTGAAACATGAGAGGAAGGTTTTGAACACCAGAAGAAGGTTTTAAACAAGAGAGGAAAGTTTTGAATGCAGGAGGAAGGTTTTAAACACCAGAGGAAGGACAGCATCCCTGCCCTCCCCATCCCCATTTACCAGCAGCCCCTCCCAGAGCACACCCACCCAGGCCCAGTGCCCTTTTCCCCCAGCAACATCCCTGCCTCCTTCTTCATTGCATAAATTATGACCCATTAGGCAGAAAATGTAATTGGATTCTGGCTCTCCTCCAGCTATAGCTTAATTCCACGGCAGATCTGTGGCCTAACAAGCCCGGGTCAAGTTGAATTTGAGGACGCCAAAATAGGTTTTGTTTGGGGAAAAAAACCTCTGTGTTTTCATGTAGTGCATGAAAATCTGAAAATCTCCCTCTCTCAGAGCAGCTAATTTTACCTCCAGACCACAGAGGCATTATTTCAGCTGCCAAGCACACCTGGGGTTATAAGGAACAAGCACTGCTTCAGAAATGAAAACCTGGCTGTGTGTGCCAATGGCAACATTCCTTAAAGTGCTGGGGGAACACATGGACCGGGGGGGTCAGGCACTGAGTTTAGAGCTCCCACAGTTGAAGGAGCACTGCCTGCCCCCATTAGGAAAGGACAGGAATATCAGGATTTTCTGAGCACATTCCTTTAGCCAACAACCACCCTGACACCCTGACACAGCACTTCTCTCCAGAGGAAGACTGGATCCCAGCACCAAGCTCCCTGCCCTTTCCTGGTTCTCCTCTCAGCAGGCTGTCCTGATAAACGCTGCTACTCCAGCCCAAAGCTCTGGAATACAGCCCCAAACCCCAAGAACCCAGCCAGGACTCAAGTGGAAGCAGAGTTTGGGAGTGCTGAGTGCTGAGTTCTGGTCACAGCCACTTGGAGGGCTGCACGTCCTGCAGGGATCCCAAAAAGGGACATGAAAGCACCCCTGGACCTCCTGACTAATGGGAAGGAGCTTGGAAAACCAGCCCCAGGAAGGGCTTTCAGGGCAGCCCTCAGCTTTCAGCTCAGCACTGGGGTGCTGCTGAAATGGCTGGGGGCTCGTTGAGATGAACAGAAATTCAGATTTCCCCCCTGGTGCACTCTGTGAATGCAGCCCCGGCTCTCTGCAGCTCTCGGGAGAGCTCTGCCTGCTGCGAAGGCAGGGGCACAGGCTGGGCTTGTTAATGCCTTTCATTCCATCCTCAGGTGATTCCTGCTCCAGCAAGCCAGGAAGGAGAAGAAAAGCTCTGTGGAAAGCACTGAACTCTCCATCACCCCGAATTCAGCGTCTTTAGGCCTGTGTGTGCCACATCAGCTGCACACAACAGGAGGAAAGCACACAGCCAGGGAATACCTTGCTGGAAACACAGCCAGAAGGGCCAGGCAGGAGATCTGAGCAAAACCCAGCTCTCAGATTCTCCTGCTTTTGTTGCTCAGCTCCTTCTGTGCATCAAAGATTTTCAAGAGAATGAAACCTGGAAACCACCCCTGGGAAGGCAAAACTTTTAGAAAGGAGAGGAAGAAGGAAGTCCCTGGCTCTGGCTTGTTCAGGCAGTGCTCCCTCTGCTCCCCCAGCTGTGCAGGTCCCATTAAATCCCATCACTATGGAACAAGGAACAGCATTTCTGCAAAGGTTGTGCAGAGGGGCAGCGATTCCTTCACTGAACATCAGCACAGCCCCTTCCCAGCGTGAAGGAGGCACAGGGGGAGCCTCCAGGGATTGCTCCTGACTCCAGAAAGGCACTTTTCAAACCCAGGAATTGCCACGAGACGGGAACTGTGAACCCCCAGGATGAACAAACACTTCACAGCAGCGTGCTCAGCCCAGATCAGGATGCTCAGGTGCCCCGAGGTTGATCCCAAGAGCCAATTCCCTCCCTTTTCCATTGGGATTGGGAGCTCCCAGTGCTCACCTGTGCACAAAAAGGGGAGTTCAGACACAAAACTGAGAACATTTCTGTTCTGCCAGAGATGCCGAGGAGCAAAATTCTACCTGGCTTTTTTCCCCAGTCTCTCCCAGTGGCTTTTCCTGGTGGTTCTTTGGAGGATTTTGGACAGGCTGTGGGGCTGCCCTGGTTTGCAAACACTTCTAAGGCTTTGTCCTACAGATGGCTGGAGATGAAACCAGGGACAAAAGAGCCCAGCTGTGTTTGTCCAGCAGCTTCAGCCACAGAAACTGCAGGTAACTTCTGCAATTCAGCTGCAGGAGAAGGAAGCATCCCTCGGAATGAGTCACTTCCAGCTCATCTGTCCTTATTTCACACCGGGGAGAGCTGAGCCACTGCCTGAGCAGCCTCCAGCAGCAGAAGCTGCCATTGTCACCTGGACAAACAGGTCCCCAGAACAATGGGCTGTGCCTGGAACCTCACCAACAATCGCTCCCCACTCCTCAGCTCTGCTGCTCCGCCTGTGATCGCACTAACAAAGCCAGCACTGCTGATTTTAATCGCTGTTTAATCGTTATTTTTGCTTTGCAGTTCAGGGAAATGGGGACTATTTTTTCCACTCTTCATTTAATAGACACTGCAAGCCCATTTGTATTCTGCTTCCAACTTCAAGCAATAAAGGCCTTTTTAGCATCACATAATAACTGCATTAAAAGGCCTCTTCATAATCACACAATAACACTTTTTATAGCTCTGCCCTCCCCCATATCTTTTATCTGGTTATAAAGTTCCCCAGCCCCCAAAAAATGCTGAATAATTCCCCATTGATTAAAAAAAAAACCAACAAAAAAAAAACCTCAACAAATTTGCTAATGCAACTTCCTGTTCATCTGTAGTTCAATATAATTAGTTTTGCATCTCAACAAAAGAAATGAGCTCAAATTAAGCGGTAATTTTGGTAATAGGCAGGGAGGCTGTGTCCCTGCTGGGCTGAGGCTGAGGTTAAGGCAGGAGGCTGTACCTGGGCAGTAAATAAAGTGTCCTGGGCAGCACAGAAAAGTGGGATAATTGTTGGGTGTTGGGTCTGTGGCTGCCCAGTCTCCAAAGGTGACACACCAGAAAGAGGAATGTGAATGCTCACGCTGCTCTGGATCCACAGAAAGATCCACCAAAGTCCTGGAACACTAAACACACTCAGTCAAGGATTTCCCGTGGGTTCATGGAGCTCATCCCCTCCCATCCTTCCCCTGCTACAAAACCCCTGCTCCTTTACAGCCCCCAGCCCCTCACCACAGAGCCCAAAAGCTCCCAGATGGAGCCCTGGAAGTGAAAAAGGACAGAAATCCCTTTGGGCTCTCCTCACCCCAGTGATGTGCTCACACTGCAGCTCCTGGGTTAGCTCTAAGTCCCACCAAGGGCTAAACTCAGTTCTAAAGAGGGAATTTGGACGGGGTTTGCGTCCAAGGGTGTCTCCAGGAGCAGGAATCCCTGTCACAGGTAACCCAGGTAACCATGCACCACCACATCATGTCAGTGAAGCCCAGAAAAAACCCAAAATCAAAAAAAACCATCAAAAATATTCGGGCAAATAAAGCGCAGCATGGAGGAACTCAGCTGGGAATGAAGCTTTGGTTCCATTCTCACAGGCTGTACCTTTCATTTCGCTCATTTCTAGCAACGATTCACCAATTAAACTCAATTCCAGAAATAAAAACCATCAGGAAAGAAATATCTCCTGGATCTAATGGCCACAGCTCGTGGAGTAAGGGCGGGATTTGTCAAGCTGGTGAGCGAAGCAGATTATGGTGAAAGCCCTCAGGATTTAATACACAACAAAGGCTTAACAAGACAAAGACAAGGCTCCTGTACACGGTCACTTTATTAAAAATACGCTGACTGCTCAGGAGGAGGAGGCAGCAGCTGGGATTGATCCCAGCTGGGCTGCAGATCCAATTCCTCCCCCGTCGCCATGACAACCGCTCCCTAAATCTGCCAGGAATTGGAGGAGGGGATTGCTGATTCCTTTGGGGAATATCAGATCTCGGGCAGGGAGCAGCAGCTCAGCACGGTGCCATGGCAGAACCCGAGCAAGGCGTGACCAGAGCCACCTGCAGGGGAGGAACAGCCCAAAATGAAGCCACCTTTGCCCAGCTGGTGGCCCTGGATGTGGGGGATGCTCCTCACCCGCAGTGATGTGCCAGCAGGGACACAGGGAGCATCCCCTGCCCTGTCCCAGCCCCAATTCCAAACACACAGGGCTCTGGGGAAGGACTGGGCTCTGGCACAGCATCCAGAGCCAGGGGAGCTCTGCTCCAGCCCCGCTTCTGCCTTTCAGGGGATGAAAATCCCCATTTCCAGTAAAGGAGGATGCTGGGGGTGGCAGAAGGGTAATTCACTCACTCACTGCTGTAAGAAAACCAGGCACTGCTCACTTGCAAACCAACCATAATTCCAATTATTCTATCCAACAGCACAGCCTGGGCAGGGAGGAACCTCTCTGCCCTGCGGGTCTCACCCAATGCAGCCTCCAAGGGGCAGGAGGGCTCTCCCAGCCAAAATCCATCTCTGCCCTCCTGCAGATCCCTGGGGACTATTCCAAAGTGCACCGTGCCAGGGAAAGATGTGCTTGGCTAAGCAGCTGGAATCAGGGGCCCAGGCAGCTGTGGCAGCACAAAAACACAGGCAGAAAATTCGGGGATGTTTCTCCTCTGCTTCATTTCAGTCAGAATTATTCTGCCTCTGAACAAAGTGACATGTCCAAGCTGATGCAGGGAATCTGCGCAGGGAAAAGGGAATAATTCCAATTATGTCCATGCTGTGACCCCATCCTTTCCGTGTACAAGATCTGCTCACAAGCACTTTTAATTTTTAAATGACCACAGGGCACACCAAAAAATGGTACTATTACACCTTTTCCTACAGAAATTTATGAGTCACAGTAAAACTTGCCAGACATCTCAGTATTTTTACGTG